TAGTATGTTTATAATTTCGGACGAGAATATTCTAGAGTGTTGACTAAGAAATGGGCAATCAGCGTGCTCCAACACAATCCTGCACGGAACATGCTTTGACCCAACCTATATCCCGCTAACACCTGGCCTTTGGATTTAGAATGTCCGGTGACTCTCTGAGTTCAATCATCGTTGTCTCCAAAGAATGACTGACATTCAGTGGCAACACCATGTTAGCCATGATAAGGTTCAGTAATACGACAACTCAGTTGGTGTCACCATCTTAAGACACCGGCTTTGATGACCTGAACGTTTCACGAGTGCCATCCCAGCGGCTTCTATATCGTGGTTTGTTTGCCAACGCTCGGACTAGTTGAAAAAGTCGAAGTGGGTAGTTTATAACGCAGAGTCGTAGTATGAAAGGAAACTAGAATACTGGCACCTATCAATCCATCACGACCCACTGGTTGTGGTCCTAGAGATAGTGCAGCTCAATAGTCGGAGATGTTATCAGATATCGCTCATGGTAGAATTCGATAACGATCTTGCTGTAGGTTCCTTTTACATGCTTCATAAAGTCGAGAGAAACTCCCCTAACTGGAAGAAGTCTACCTCGGTTGTGCTGTTAACTGAACTGTATCTCGTGTAATTATTCTTGTTCGTTTTTGATTGTACTACACCTTCATATTTTAACAATGTTATCCCTGAATTTTATGTGGCCGATAGACTTGTGGTTCTTAGTTGTATCAATGTTTATGTTTTTTTGAATATGTGCATTTTTTGATGACTAATACTCCCGTTTAGCCTGGTGGTCAACGTAGTTGAATGAAATCTTAAGGTCAGGAAATAAGACTAAAGTTGAGATTCCTTAAGGATACCTATTTTTCGGAATCTGACGACAGGTGCAAGCCATAAATTTGTTTCCTCCGTACAGTTTCCATCACAGAGTACTCACACCCTTTCCTCCTGGGTAAACTCCCCAATCAACTTCACTAGCTCATCTGATACATCTCCCATTAAGTCTAGCCATCAAAATACCGAGCTAATGAAGAACATCCAATCCCTCACATCAAACTCATCTCACACCCGCGAGGGTTACGACAATTTTATCCGAGATACCCTCACCCATTTTAACTTAGTAGGCCACCTGCTTAATATATGTCTTATCAACGCTCGGTCGATCTGCAACAAAAAGACGGATTTAGCCCTGTTTGTATCCGTATATCAACCATCACTTGTTATGATATCTGAAGCATGGACTAACAGTAATATTTCCGACCGAAGTTTATCTCTTGATAACTATTCCCTATGTAGAAGCGATAGATTGAATGGACGAGGCGGAGGATGCCTTATTTACGCTCACTCTAGCCTAAACTCACTGCTGTGTGATATGCCTGAACTAAACAAACTGAAGGATTCGTTGTGGATTGTATTAAAGCCGTCGAATTCCGTTACCTTACTGCTCGGCTGTGTTTATCGTCAACCTAACGCATCAATAGATGAAATAGCAGTATTATCGGAGGTATTCACACTAGCATCATCCCTCTCATTCACAGGCAAGCTCATTTGTGGTGACTTCAATATGCCCGAAATTTCTTGGCTGCCAGTCAAAGCGCCGAGACGTTATGAATCATTTTTTGAATGTCTAGAGCTCGGACAATGGACTCAGTATGTCGATAGCCCTACCAGACATCAAAACATCTTAGACTTAGTCTTTACCAGTGGCCTCATCCCCAATACTTTGTATATTGGAAAAAAGTTCCCAGGTAGTGATCACAACATTGTCATATGCAGCCTTGATGTAAAAACCACAACCGATAGAAGTAAAACCGTAACACTTCACAGAAACTATCGCAAGGTTGACTGGAATAACTTCCACAATTACCTAAGAAGCACTGATTGGAGAACTTTCTTTACCTCAAACAATACCGACACATTAATCAATATATTTTATCACAACATCAAAAGTATCATAAACAACATCGCACCTTTAGAATACTGTAAACCTACGTTCTCCAAAGATCTCTATATACCGGTCAGTACAAGAAGACGTCTTCAAAGACATTGTACTCGATTCCACAACTTAAATGACTTTTCCTCTTTAGTAACGATGACAGAAATACTTGTCCGAACAGAGGCAATAAGTAAACAAAAAGCAGTAGCACAGGAAAAACGTGCAGTTGAACTTAGTAATAACTCCTCTGCACTCACCATACTACTCCAAAATAAACTTAAACGCTCTAAATCGGGAGGGAGTATATTCATTAAAGGCAAACAAGTATACGAAGATCTCAAACTTATCACAGAATTATTTAGTGAACATTTTTGTTTCTCACTAACTAACGAAAAACCATTTAATGATTCAGAACCAATCCCAGTAACTCCCTGTGAAATTACCAATGTAGAATTCAGTGTACAAAATATCTCCAAAGCAATCAGTACATTGAAACACTCCTACACTGATGGACCAGATGGTATCCCATCTAGCATGCTAAAACGTGGAGGTGATGATATGTGTGTTTTGCTTCTCAAACTATTCGCGATATCACTCTCTTCAGCGTGTTACCCTACTGCCTGGAAAACTACACATATCATTCCCAAAATTAAAACAGGACCTGAAGCAAACGTTGAAAATTACCGGCCTATAAACATAACTTCAGTGGTATCCAGAGTGATGGAAAAAGTAGTTAAGGCGGCTGTAGTCCAACATCTACTAACTAATAATCTCATCTCGACCTCCCAGCATGGATTTCTTAGGTCCAGATCATGCGATACATGCCTAGTAGACTACCTGAATGATATAACTCTGAAACGAGACAGCGGACTCCTTGTATCAGTCCTATTCCTTGACTTTAAGAAAGCCTTTGATAAGGTCCCACACAAAAGGCTACTCGTCAAACTAAAGTCCTTCGGAATACACAACCCACTGTACTCATGGTTTGCTTCGTTCTTAACAGAACGTAAACAGATGGTAAAGTACAATGACTGTCTCTCGTCCCCTAGACCAATCACCAGTGGAGTCATCCAGGGAAGCGTATTAGGTCCACTTTTGTTTCTTATGTATATAAACGATATATGTAACACCATAGAATTTGGGAAACCATACTTATATGCTGATGATCTCAAAATAGTATACAGCTATAAGCCTGAGACACTAAGCGAAAGTGTATCCCAGATCCAAAAGGACCTCAATAACTTAACTATATGGAGTGAAAAATGGCAATTACCATTTAACCTCAACAAGTGCGGGATCATGTACTTTGGAAAGCATCCCTATAAACCGCGACTTCACTTAAATGAATGTAGAGTCCAAACATTCGAATCAGTACACGATTTAGGAATTAATTACACAGGAAGCCTAAACTTTGAAGAACATGCCTCCTCTATTATTTCTAAATCTAGACGGCTAATTGGTTTTATGATGAAAAACTTTTTCACAACAGAGGGTAAACTTACTCTCTACAAAATATGTGTACGACCCTCCCTTGAATACTGCTCTTTTGTCTTCTCTAATATGAATATCGCAGACAAGATAAGAGTAGAAGATGTTCAAAGACGTTTCACACGTCAACTACTAGGATGTAACTCGAATCTCGATTACACAGAACAGATGTAAGCATCTATCTTTAGAACCTTTATGGCACCGTAGGCTAAAAAACAATTTAATATTTCTCTACAAAGCGATATATGGGCTCTCCTTTCTAACCTCCTGCCCGACTATCACCCACGACCCAGCCTATAGACTTAGAAACAACGCATATACACTACTTACCGTAAAACACCAAAAACAAATGCGTTGTAAGTTTTTTACAGTACGGTACAGTTTATTGTGGAACAGGCTGCCAATGCCTATCCGTAACTGTGATACGTTTACCAGATTCAAAAAGCTAATAACCCTATTTCTAGACTCCAAAGAGCTTCAACATTTCCTTGAACTCCCGCCCACCAATGAGGCACTTTATTACGGACCGCCTAGTATCTAGAAAGAACAAAATTATAACAAGTTCGACTGTTACTAATATGAATATAACCAAATCACAGAATATATGGCCTATCCTTTCCTATTATTCATTGTTTATTAATCATGACTTCATGCTCCTAACCCTAGCTTTCAGTCCCCAAATCTCTACAGGTTAAATGTACATTATTCTTCCTAAAAGTCATGCTTTTTTTTCTACTGCAAGTAGACAGATAGCTCAACCTTATGGATGCTGATCTACTAAGGCCGATCATACAAAGCTCAAAATTTGCCCACAAAGTCTTGTGAGTTTCTCAATGTTTTATTTGTCTTACCCTGAAATCTTTTTTTTTCTTTCTACAATTTTATACCCTCTCATATCTTTTGATTTGCTATTAGTCCTTACTTCTTTAAACCATTAGTTATTTTCATAGTAGTGTGATATACTATATGGACATCTAACCCCCAAAAAAGACTTTTCAACTATCTGATTTGCTTGTAACATGGACCTAGTAGAGACAGTGTATTCCAACTATGGGCTTTGATTAAAGCAGTATTCATACTTACCACAAACGTAAGAGAGCCTAACATCACAAAAGGAGGGAGGGTGGCGTTACTGACCAGCAAACATGAAGGTGGGGAGATAACTTCAATCCACCCATGTCTGTAGGGCAGAACATTTTGTTTAATTACGGCTCCTTATGTTTTAGTGGGATGTCACGAACTTATGGTATTGATGCTGATTTATCACGCAAAATACCTCTTTAAATCGTGTTACGAACGTTGAATTGGTTTCACTTCCTACCCAGAAATCCTATTACAAGCAAACTAGACAATTCGCTAATATACGAAGCCTACTCAAGACCCTATAATACCTGAAAAAAATAATAATACAAAAAAAACGAAAGGGGCTCTAATAGCTTCGATAATAAAAGGAAGATAGCCAATTGTATATCACAATACTGTTTCTAGCACTATATTTTATTTTATAATCACACATAATCCCATACTCTCAGCTCCTTTACGAATCGCCTCCATTTGTCAGTTGTATGTCCACTCACACCTTGTTAACACTTATTTTCTTTAACCTATTAAAATGCTCTTTCTTAACAAATACCTTAATAAAAAAAAATTAGACTGAGTAATCATACCTTAAGCATTCCTTCAAGAATATTGGCTACTCTGCCCCTCGTGTTTTCTTTTACTTGCTCCCTCTTTCAGCCCCCTTGAGATATGGAACGGGTGACTTCATCCTGCACCATCCTTAAAGCCTTGGATATTCCAAAGGGACATAAGGTTGCGATTTCTAGAAGCTCATACCTTCAATGGACCTATCCTTGACCATCAGTCGCACATTCGCAACGCAACTTTCATGAATGGTTCAAATGGTTGTGGACGGAATAGAAGAAGCTTTCGCTTAACAGGCTTCCGTGTCTAGTAGCAGGGGATCACCAAATCCTCCAGGCAGGAACCTAGGTATGTTAACAATAAAAGAGGAAAAGAAATTGGTAAATCATAGTGTGATGCTGTCCTTGGTCCTTAAGAATAGGTCAAGTTGCCTCTTGAAGGACTCCTGAGAAGTCGCTTGGACTAGCTCGGCTGGCAGCGAATTCCAGCTTTTGACAACTCTTAAGGAGTAGAAGTTGTGTCTACATTCCGTCTTGCTATGTTGTGTTTCCAGTTTCTGGGTGTTACCCCTTAGGTTATTATTCGAACTAAGCTTAAGTAGGTGTTTAAGAGGATGTCCAGAAGTGTTAAGAATACTATAAGCCATTAATAAATCACCTCTAAGACGCCTATATTCTAGTGGGTAAAGGTCTAGTGAACGGAGGCGTTCTTCGTAAGGCTTAGATTTGAGTCCTCGAACTGATTTCGTGGCTCGCCGTTGGATACGCTCCAAAGTGACCTTGTCCTTTTGGAGTGAGGGAGGGAGTACTATGTTTCCGTACTCTAAATGGGGACGGATGAAACTATTGAAGATTGTGTGGAAAGTTCGTCCGTCAAACTGTCCAAAAATGCGCTTCAACGTTACCAGTGCAAGGTTTGCTCGGAAGGCATTTTTGTCACAGTTAGCGTAAGACTTTAAATCATGGGGCACCAGGACTCCTAAATCTTTTTCGACTTGGGATACTACTAGAGAGGAGTTTCCTAAGTTGTAACTGTAGTTTGCAACATGTCGCAGATGGACTACTTTACACTTTGAAGTGTTAAAGGTAAGTCCGTTATCGTCTGCCCAACTTTGAAGTCGAGTCAGATCCTCCTGAAGTGCCTGTATATCGTCTTGGTTGCGTATCTCTCTCCAAAGTTTCACGTCGTCGGCAAAAAGTAATAAGTCTGACGTTACCTGTTGAGGAAGATCATTTATGTAGATCAAGAAGAGAAGAGGCCCTAGTACTGAGCCCTGGGGGACCCCACTAGGACATTCCATAGCCTGAGATAAAGTGAAATTAACCCTAACCTTAAAGTGTCGATTTTTTAGGTATGAAGTAAGCCAATCGATTAGAGGTGGTTTGATACCTAGTCGTTTGAGCTTGTTGATAAGACACAAGTGGTTAACCTTATCAAAAGCTTTTGAGAAATCAAGGTAAATGATATCAACCTTTCCCTTGCGATCGAGGATGCTTGTCCATCTGTCCACCGCAGTCAGCAGGTTGGTTATACAAGAGTAACCCTTCCTGAAACCATGCTGTTGGGGTGAGAAGAAATTTAAGGACAGTAGATAGTCATTTAAACCGTCGCATATCAGGGACTCCATGAGTTTTGAAGGTAATGACAGAAGAGCCACCGGCCGATAACTTGAAGGTTCATTGCGTCGACCACCTTTGAAAATTGGTGTGATGTGAGCCAACTTCCAATTTTCCGGTAATTTGCCTCGGCTTAGCGAGTGTGAAAACATCACGCTAAGCGGCGTTGCCAGGATTGAGGCTGCCTCCCTCAGTATGGCAGGATGAACCATATCCGGGCCAGGAGAAGTGTCTAATCTTAAGTGCTGCAATTTCCGGAACACCAAGTCAGCGCTTAGGTCTACTTCGGAAAGTCCTGTGGAATTGCAGATGAAACTGTCGTCAGTAAAGTTGATGTCAGCCGGTTGAAATGTTTGAGAGTAATGTGCCGCCAGAAGGTTAGCGGCGTCGCCATCGTTGTTGGTCGGGCCGTTAAGACCTACCAGTTGAGAAACTCCTGTTTTGGCTTGACGAAGAGAGGCTGCATAACGGAATAGGCTTCTAGGGTTAGAGGCGAATTTGTCCATAAGCTTTGTCTGGTACTGAAGCCTGTCTTCTCTTATAGCCTTTGTGCATATGTTCCTTATATGTTTATATTGTCTATACGCTCCGTCGCGCCAACTGTAGAACTGCTTAAAACCATCTACATTCATATCTCATAAATTATCAACCCAGCTATGTAATTTTCTACAGTGAATATTGTATCATTTGTATCAATTTGATCTTGCCTGTAAACTGGGATGCCTCATGTAACAAACTGTTATTTGAGAATAAATTATTATTATTATTAATTTGTATTCGTGGTGGAATCATTTATATAATGTGAAAGTTATTCCATGATTTGTCCGTTATGTATTTTGATGGTCACAACAGTAACAGTACTCAAGTAAGAAATAAAACCGAGTACACGTGAATTCATGGTACTGAGGGTAGGATAACGCATATCAATGTACAAAGTAGTTATCATTGTGTGCAGACATCACACGTTTTCCGTTATAATCTTCACAAAGTTGGGAGGATACCTTCAGTATAAATAGTGTCCGAAAATATCTAGGGAGTCGTTGCCGATTTGACATTTTTAAATATTTACAATAATGCCGTGTTTTTGTAGTCGTTCATAAACCAGGTCTAGATTTTGGAGATGAGATTCTCTGTTCGTACATGTGATCGAACAGTCATCTACATACGCCTGTATGAAGTTGATGCCTTGAAAGACATGGTCGATGAATCTCTGGAAGTTTTGCACAGGGTTTCTTAAACCGAAAAGCGTGTGCAAAGATTTGTAGACACCGAAGTGGGTGGTGATGACGGTTTTATGAATGTCATCTGCAGCCATGGGAGTTTGGTTACATGCTTTAAAGAAGTCGATTTTCTAAAAATTGGCTGTACCTTTTAAGGTAGCTCTCAAGTCGTGAGTGTGAGGAAACGGGTAACGATCAGGAATGCTTTTCGCATTCAGTCGCCGATAGTCACCAGTTGGACGCCAATCACTGCTGTGCTTTTTTTGGAGACTATATGTAAAGAAGATTTCCATGAGATATTTGATGGCCGAATGTTTCCTAAATGTATCATATGGTCGAATTCGTTTTTAATCAACCTCGGCTTTTTGGGAGCTAGTCGGTGCGCTTTCGAGAATACAGGTGGTCCTGTAGTCGTAATGTGATGTGCAACATTGTTGGCTGAACACAGCAATTTTGGTCGTGTTTGGTACAGTTCGGGTTACTTGTCGAGTATCTGTTGATAGAACGAATCGATTATGTGATTAAAATGACTGGGGATAACCTACAGCCAGAAAAAGAGATTACTTAAACAGACAAATTAGCATTCCCGTCTACTAACCTCCTTTTCGCGTGTCGATGAGTAGATTATGATGTTGTAACAGGTCTATACCAATCACTGGCATAGAAACGTCTGCCACAACGAAAATCCAGTGAATGAATTTGCGTAAACCTGCGTTAAAATAAAAATATCTTCTACCATATGTCGCGATCGGTTTACCACTTGCCGCCTGTAAGTTGAAATTTTCTTCGAGCAGTCGGTCGTTAAAATTTGCAGGAAGATCGCTAGGTGAGTCTAGTTAAACTAATGCGGTCAGCATCAGATTTCTTAGACTAACAGGTCTAGTCTGTGTCAGGTAGAGACAGGGATCTACCTCAGACAATGGAAGATGGTCGCGCAATTTCGTGGATTGGTTCAACTGATTGGTCGGTCGACGCGGATGGATTGATCTAAGATGAACGGAATAAGTTTAAGGCTACATTCGAGTCCGTCTCCTCTACGTTTATTGTAACAAATACTTGTCCCACTGACACCGAGATACCAACCATTGAATCTGTACAGGTGACTGAGGAAACTGTCCTTCCGTTGATAACTAACCTCAAACCTGGTAAGACACCGGGCCCTGACGGGTTACATCCACGGTTGCTGTCATCTCTTGCGGACATTATTTCAAAACCGCTTGCGACACTCTTCAACATGTCCCTTTCACTCGCTCAACTCCCTAGAGATTGGAAGGACGCTATAGTTAGTCCTATATTCAAGGACGGTCAGCGACAGATAGTGTCTAACTACCGGCCTGTCAGTCTAACTAGCATAGTCGTTAAGTTACTCGAATAGATAATTCGGGTTAGGTTGCTAAGCCACATAGATTTACACAATCTGTTAGCTCCTGAGCAACACGGATTTCGTAACAAGCGTTCATGCTTGACTAACTTGCTTATTGCGAGGGAGGATTGGACAGCAGCCCTAGATCACGGTCTGTCTGTCGACGTGATATTCATAGATTTTAGCAAAGCGTTTGACAAGGTTTCACACGTAGGTCTTATGCAGAAGCTCACGAGCTTCGGAATAATAGGTACTGTACATGCGTGGATAGGAAATTTCTTATGTGACCGCAGACAGAGAGTTAGGGTCAATGGAACGCTATCCGATTGGAAGCCGGTCAAAAGTGGTGTACCCCAAGGCACCATCTTAGGCCCACTGCTCTTCCTTCTCTACGTTAATGAGTTACCGCTGTTACTTAGGTCGTCGACATTATTGTTTGCGGATGACGTAAAAATCTGGAGAACAATAAAAAGTGCGGCTGATCATGTGGATCTTCAAGCTGACTTAGATGGGCTCGAGAGTGGGGCTTAGAAATCAATGCTAGGAAGAGTGTACTAATGCACATCGGTCACGGTAATAGTTACCGTTACACTATTGAGGGTAAACCTCTTCCATGCGTTCAAGAGCATAAGGACTTAGGAGTAATATTAAGTCATGATTTAAAAACAACTGCGCATTGCAAAGCAGCCGCTGTCAAAGGTTTTCGTGCGTTATGGTCACTTCGCCGAGCGTTCAAATCTTTTGACGAGGAAACGTTTCGAATTTTATATCCCATATATGTTAGACCACATTTAGAGTACTGTATCCAAGCAGCTAGCCCGTGTCTGGTAAAGGATACTAACTCCCTTGAGCGTGTCCAGCGTGTGGGAACGAAATTAGTGAAGGGTCTTTCTAGACTCCCTTACGATGAGCGCTTAAAACGCCTAAATCTTTTCCCCTTGTCGTATCGTAGGACACGAGGTGACCTTATACTGGCATTTCGTATCTTTAATTATGATTTGGGTGTTAATATGTCTTATATTTTTGCTCCCTCCAGCACTAATAATCTCCGAGGTCATAGCAAGAAGGTTCATAAACCACGATCTAATAAACTTAAAGTGGGATCCCGTTTTTCTCATCGAGTAGTCAATGATTGGAACGCCTTACCCGAACAAGTGGTATCAGCCCCATCAGTGAATACTTTCAAGGAAAAGCTGGACCTTCACTGGAAAGCAATGTGTCAGGATTAACACAGGTTCATCAACCTACTATCCTTATTACTGAAGACCGGTTGAAGTTAGACATTAACATAATTCGACGTCGTCCGGCTGACTGATCTAGAGGCCAAGTGTCCACGAGAAAGAAGGAAGGTCCTGGGTTCGAATCTCGTCGGTGAGTCTCATATTAAGACGAAACGGCCGTCCAGTGCTTCCCGGTTTTTAATGGTGGTCTAACATCGATTGATTCATGATCTCAATCAAAAACCTACAGAGATATTGATTTTGGGGATCTTTTTACTGCTAAACACTCAATAGTTCAAAGCCTTATTAGAAAAAGGAAAAGCAGAAATATAATGGATATTTAACTAGTTTGAATTTACTAACTTGATTTTAAAAAAGACCTTCACAAAAGGCCCTAGATTGAGTGCTTAAAACAGATGATTCTTGTCATGGTTTATGTCGGTCGTTCGGGGAAACAAGAGATTTAACGAGTTCTCCATTTTATAATAGTTTTGTTGAGTGCTGATTTGGAGTTATGATTACGAGCTTCAGATAATGAACTGTGGAAATTATCTTCATTTTCTACTTGTTATCTCATTGTGCCATACCGTAATGAATCAGCTATACTGTCGCCGAAGCTCATGTGAAATGCCTTCAGTGGAATATGTCGTTAGAGTCGATGGAACGTTTTCAGATGCCAAGGCAGTCGCTCGACTGCACGACTTGGAACTAGTTGATGAAGTATCTCTTATTTGTTGGTCATTTTACAAATTAGATGATTGGTTTTAAAGGGATGTACATAATGCACTCAAAAGCTAGCGCACTCAAAAGGCGCAGGCGTCGGGCTATGGTGTCCATCGGAGGTCCAGGGGTATGACTTGTTTTAGGTTTATTCTCCGCAGGTCAAGTGGTTTATTAAACAAGAATTTCTTAAACGTACTAAGCGTTCCAGTGTGCCGACCGTATTCTGGGATGATCCGCTGTATCCTGATATGTGGTATCTGGTAAGTATTTGCGTATCTTTCAAATAAGTTGGAAAAGGGACTTCAGTTTTATGTTTTTAAACCCCTTCTCGAGTTGTGCGGAAATAGCAAACTGATTGTACGATGGGGGTCATCATCAGGATTTCAGATGTGGTTCATTGATATTAAACGGCGAGATTCTCATGTTGATCCTCCAGATATCTGGATGAACGAATTTACCCATCAGTAGGAACAATTAAGGGGAATCATTTAGAGTATGCCTTTTCAGTACTATTAGTTCCAAGGTAGATACCAAGTTTTATGCATAAAGAATCAGCCGAAGTACTATTAATATCTTATCCAAATATGGATTTACATATCCTAACCCCAGAGACGTACTTATATCTTTGTATCTTATGCACATTATATGTTCCCCATATTTGGAACTACAGTTTTCTTCTATTTACCCATAATACTTAGGTTTTAGTTATTAACGGACTTTAACGTTCTTAAAATGAATTCAATTATTAAGCTGTACCAGTACAAACTTGTTGATATTCCGACAATATTTCTGACCAGTTGAGATTTCAGGATTTCTTTTTTAAATGAGGGTTAGTGGTTTGTAACTTCAGTTATTCTAAATAGGCTTTTAGCCTCCTAATATTAATAAATTTTACGAGTTGACATTAAGGTTAGGGGTTTTATCTATGTATGTTGAAGTGATTATTTACGACATAGTTCTATATACATGTTTTCGGTGAATGAAAACTATTTCTGGCTATTTTGTACACTAAATTAAAGTTAATTCAACCCACACAAAGATACTCATTTTTGTTTCGTAAATAGTAATGATAGTAATGATACCTGAAAATTAAGTATCTTATTGGTCATCCAACTATCATATTCATTAGTTCTCAGACTTTGTGACACAAGTGATTACCAAACTGTATGCAACCCTAGTTGTATATGAATGTGTGTGCTTGTGTTCTATTTTAAGGAAGTATTTGAAACGTCCATTTTGTCGCCTATATAGTGTATCTCTGTTCTTTAGAAATTATCTAACACCAATTAGTAATTGTTACATATTCTTGATGTTTTCTTATATTTTATTGGTTTGACAGTAATGGCATAATCCAAAAATTCGCAAAAACAATTGCATTTTTGAACAACAATTCCGTATTCCTACCAAACGATTTTCTTAAATATCAAATCATTGTATCAAAACAACAGCATCTTTATTTCTTCTTGATGTGTTTTAGGATATTCTTGCCACTTTTAGACTATAAATATTATGGGTTTTTGTAACGCAAGTACAGGTTTATGTAATCTATCTTTAAGCTGAACTCTGTATGGTAGCTAGGTGTAATACCAATTAGACCCAATCGAAGTAATAGTGAGGTTAGGTGTGGGGTACTGGGGAAACATATCTTCGGTTGACGAGTGTGAGCTTTCATCAGTTGTGGTAACTGGGTGTAATACACATGCCAAACCACCACTTACATCAACGTGCGTTGCTGGTTGGTGTAGCACTGAGCTGAAATACACCTCACGGTAGCGGTTATTGACGGAATCTAAAAAGTCTTGGTAGGTGCAAACTAGCTGCTTTAAGTCTGCAGTATGGCTATTTGACGGGGATGTTAGGTAAAGTAGCTCATAATGGGACACAGTGGCATAATTGTATTCATTTATTTCCCACCTAATCTTGAGTTTCAATGAAATGGTCCCTAACCTGATGGGAACAGATACATTTCTTGACTTGCTCTGCCTATGACGTTAACTAATATATATTTTTCCCCTAATACGATCGAGGGAAGTAGTAGAAAATGGCATTTAAAAAGCGAATATATGTTGTTGAGATGTGACAGATACTTATAGGCAATGAAAATAAGTCAGTTATTTATGTTATAAATCCTCGCCTGGTAAGTTAAGTGTTTTACGTGCATCAACTCATCATCCAACTTGATACACGTTTGTGAATCATATAGAATGCTAGGTATACTACCCGGGAACTCAGACTAAAGTAGATAAGGGGGCGGTAAATTCGCGACCCACAGGTTAAAAGCCAGTTGGTTTAATTATTAAATCACGATCTTAACTGTTGGTTGAGTTTGCTTATTTTCCGTTTGTATTGAATATTCATGAAATTGTTATGCTTCACTAGCACAGTTATTGTATGGAAATGGAAGAAAAGTGTAATCATTCAATAAAAAATCATACGTATCAAAACACTTCACTAACCAACTTCAAAAACTAAGAGATAAGTTATAAAAATTCATAACTGAAGTACATATCCTTCAGGTTCTTCGTTAGGATTGACCTACTGACTGAGCTGAAGAGAAAGTGAATAAAACTAATAAAATGTTAGAGATTCTGTTAAACATAAGGATTTGCCGTACGTAAATCATTGTGATCAGTCGTAGGTCGTATCATTTCATGGTCTCAAGGAACTGTTTCCTGATATTTTCTGTGCCTCTACCGAAAAAATCTAGATTTTCTCGTAGTTTCTGAGTTGCTAAGTTAAACTTACATCTTAACTAGTAAATATCCTTTTCCTTCAAGCTTTTTTCATACATTTTTCTCTTCAGTTTACTTTTATATCTTAATGTTTTACACTTAGTACTAGTTTCCTATCCAATTATTATGGTATTTTAAGGTGTTTTTACTTAAATTTCATCAGATATTCCATTTATCCTAAAACGTTAAAAGCGGAGGCTGTTTAATTAAAAGTTTTCTTCACAAATTAATAATATGATTTATAAGTACATATTTATATTTCATTTTTTTTAGAACAGAGCTAGTAAAGGTAGAGGTTATGATATGAATGTATTAGAAGCATGGGAGTTAGGCTATACTGGTAGAGGTATCAAAATCACTATTATGGACGATGGAATAGACTACACGCATCCGGATCTGTTTGTAACTTATGTAAGTTTTATTTTTGTATCAAATTTTTATAATTTATTATTCTTTCCAGTGTCATTATTCTAGGCTGGTTTAATCGACCTCTACGGAGAACGGAGTTTTTTTTATGAATTTATTCTTCCTGTTGGTTTTATCGATGAATAATCGTATATAATGTAAAGTGTTGGCATTGAATATAGGTTTCTTCGCACCTTAAAATGAATAAGCAGGTTTATTGAAAAATCCATGCCAAAAATCTATTTTTCCAAAGAAGTCAACTTATTTGGTCCCAGTAACCAGTATCTAAGTGACTTGTTGGGCAACGTAACAAACAGACATTGCACAAAAGTTATTGTCGTAACTTAACAGTTTAAGATGAGATCCAAAGTAGTGAATGTTTAGTTCAGGTTTGAAAATACTGAAATTTAGATGAAATCATACCGTACTACCGAATTTCAACAATGGTACATAGCATGTACCAGGGTGCACCACTAAAACATGTGCCATCACTATCGTCTATTAAAATGTTCTTACTGGAGTAGAAGGATTTTGACAAAATCAAACATCATAAACGTTGTCCAGGTACATCATACTCTAGATGTAACCACAATAAAAGATTTTATAAAATTGTTTCATGCGATACAAATATTGAGAATATTTGTGAATAGCAAATACTTTAGTTAGGGATAAGAACGAAAACCGTTCCTTGTCCTCTGGGTTTTTCCGTTTGGCTCGTTTGGCTTTTTCCAACTTACGTCACCTATGGCGAAGGCGAGATATCCATCTATCAATTATTTATTTATTTATTTTAACACATAGATATTGGTACAAGGAGGCACCAAATACATATGCGCCACACAAATCTCATTCGATATGTGTGAGGGCTATGATACTGCCCGGATGCCCAAACCGAAGCAGGTGGTTCTCATAGGGAGCCACTCCTCGAGCCTTCGACCTGAAGGTGTGATCCACAAGGCAGTGGAGCATCGTAAGGAGATGCAGTCCCATGGAAGCCGGTGACCAACGATCGGTTCATACGCTATTTGTTCCTTCAGGATACTGGAGCCCATGTGCACCATTGGTTTGGAATCCGGTTAAAGCGCCACATTCGCTTTTCGTCCTCTCATTTTCGTAAACAACATCCCCACCACGAGAAGGCAGTGAGTATGACTTCCCTGGCAGAGGCTATATACTCATGGCCATGTGAGAGCATTTCGATAGGAAGAGCTGACTCTCCTCACTTTCGGCCGTACCAAGGCATTTGGGGGCTGCGCGACAGTTCGTTCTGTTTTACTTTACGACTGCGAAACGTGGGCATTAACAGTAGAAGACACTCGTAGCTACTAGTATCTGACCACAGGTGTCTTAGAAATATTGCTAACATCTGCTGGGATCACCGGGTGGGTACTAGTGAGGTTAGATGCAAGGTATGATGTTAAATCAATTGATGAGGTTGTGGATCTTCATCGACTGAGATGGTTGGGCCACTTGTTGCATATGCCTGAACACCGATTACCACGACGCGCAATGCTGACTGGTGTTGGAAGAAATTTAGAGGCGGCCAAACCAAAACGTGGCATCAGTCCTTGAAGTCACTAACTTCTAGTCTGAGCTATGTTAATAGGTGCAGACTAATTGGTTGGGGTCCTCGTGACCATCGTAACGAGTGGTTGGAGAATCTGTGTGACATGGCTGAGGATCGATCACAATGGCGCATGTATATACACTCTTTGTCTTCCTTTAAACTGAGATTAAAATACTTCATATCTTTCTACCAACCAATTCTTTCTTCCTGTACTATGTCCTGATATGCAATCTTTATTATATATTACCACCACTGAATTAACTACTTCTATGAATTCTGTGTTAATCTTGTTATGTTAATGAGGTATGGCAACTTAGACCGATGCACATATGTGCCCGGTCTTATGTTGTAACTGACTGACTGGGTTTTCCGTTTAGGTATGGATATTTCGTCACTAACGGCATGTACGAACCTCAGTTAATTTTACTGGAGTTATCAACCTCGGTTGTAAAATGTCCATTACTAAGTATTAGGAACAATTAGTCAGACAGTTTTCAATATCCGCTGGTCCACACTTTTTCCTTATCGTTAAATATCACTTCCTAAAGGAAAGTCATGTTCTTTGGTAATATGTTTACGAAATCGATCCCCAAGTCCAGATTTTAGAAGATAAAACCAGTGATTGAATCTCCGAGTACATTATTTGAGATTAAAATTTCATTTTTACGTGGAGTATTCAGCTTACATTAATGAACGATGAAAACAATAATCACAAAGCAATCGATAATCTATTTTCTTCTCTCGTCGTATCAATTAATTTAGTTAAAGTTAAAATATTATCATGCTTATGTCCAACGTAAAATTCCATTCTTGAATCTTGTGCTACTAAAGGTAAATAAAAATACCAGACTTAGGCTTAATTTCTTAGACTTGATTTCCGTTATTCAAATGATAAGGCATTTCGATAATTTCTCATTGTAGCACATTCATAGACTTAAAAAAATCTTTCCGAAACTTGTTAAACACATCTTTCTTACATACGTTGTATTAAATGATGTGAAACCAAGTAGACATCAGCCTATATGAAACCTCTGTGTGTGTCTAAAAAAACGAACTAACAAACAAACGTTTTGTGACTGTTACATTATCTTCGACAAATAAACAATATTTGTTACCATTGTTTTCATATTTCAAATTGTATAGAATTGCTTTTAATTGTTTTTACTTACCATGATTACCATTTTCTGTTTACTGATTTTAACAAATACACTGCACAAAATCAATAAATAAGCCTGCATATTGTCTAAATTGTGAGATTTTGTTAAAAAAAATATTATCGTTATTTCAGAATAATGCCAATAATGATGATATCCAGAACTTAGTCACACAATTTAAAAACTAGCTTATAGACACTAGAAAATAGGTAGATAGGGAATATAAATAAATAATGGATGAAATTCAGTTAGCTTTACAAAACAATATGCATCTGACTAATTGACTGATTAACTGATTAAGTAGTTAACTGATGATGATAAATCTAATAAACAAATAATGTAAACACGGTATGACTTATAGTCAGACGCTGTTTATATGAACTGGAGAAAGGGAAGGCAATAGTAAAAAAGACACCATTTTATGAAAATGAGACAATCCTTGTCATAGTGAAATCACTCAAAGTTTATATAACGAAATAGAAATATGACGAGTCTATTGAAATTATTTTGTTGTGTGAGAAGAAAAAACCCAATGGAACAACTTCATTTACACACTTATGTACATTGTGATAATTAATATACGATGAAAGCACTCAGTTTGCATTGACTGTTTTTACTGTTTTAATCCTGAAAATTCTATATTTGTTTATATTTATTATTATTACTATTATTATTATTATTACTACTACTGACACTTAGGGTTTCATTTCATATTTTTTTCATTATTACTGTTTGGGAATCTCATGTTAATTTTACTTCTTACTATTCTACTTCATAATAATTTTCTACGTTATCTTCATTTAGGAATATCATAATTCAGTGTCCAATAAATTGCTTTAGTATGACTTCATCTTCTCCATGTAGAAATGATGTTGCTGAGTAAATTGATATAATGAAAATAGATTTTACTGGACAATATGAATAAATATTCAATACATCTCTTTCACCCACTCCTATTGCTATGTATTTTATTAAGTAGAATAAATATTATAAAATATTTGAACAATGACAAAAAAACATATTCTTTAGTCGAAAAAAATTTCTCCGCATACAATTGTACTAAATCTAAATTTACTATTGGAAAATGGTTGAATAAGTTGTGTTAAATGGCCCAACAAAAGAATACACTTTAAAAGGGTCATAAGGAACACGTAGTGGCATAAATCAGAATTTAACATGGATAGGCTTCTAACTCATCGATCAACTATATCCTTATATACAATCTTTCTTTTATATATTACCATCATTGAATTAACTACTCTTAAAAACTCGGTTTTCATCTTGTTGTGCTAATAAGGTATGGCACATGTGTGCACCGATGCACATATGTGCCTGATCCTCCGTTGTAGCTGACTGACTGACTCATCGATCAACTGTTGAAAATATTGGTACCTACTTGAGCTATTCCTGCTTCGGTTTGGGCACTCGGGCAGTATCACAGCCTTCACATATATCGAATGAGATTTGTGTGGCGCATATCTGTTTGGTGCCTCCTTGTACCAATATCTGTGTGTTAAAATAAATAAATAAACTTAGGCTATTTCTTGCAAAAAGCTAATAGTTTTTCTCTTTGGGATAAAGCCACTGATCCAACTATGGTTCGTCCTTCGTACTATCTGATCGATTTATTTATTTACCTTTTGAAAACAGTTATAGAAAGCTTCTACTTGAATACTTCTGTTTTCCTCACTTCTACACACAAGTGTGAATTGGTTCAAGTTGCCACATTTCATGTTAAAATTATCAGTGGAAATGTTCAAGGTCCAAAGCAGCCAAGTCGAATATAATTGTTATGATAATGGTAGAAAACGAGACAGGAATTATGGTACGAAAGCAGCAAGTGAATTCCGAGAATGAGGAGTACGAGATAATGTTGAGGCTAAAGTTCAGTTAAAAATAAGGGATAAAAGAATTTAAACTAAACCAGTCAATTCCAATCTATTTCACTTATGATTTCCAACTACACATAACAGTTTTCTTGTTGACCACAATTAGCAATTATGTACAAATTAGTACAACTCAAATAAAGAGTTGGTGAATTCACAGACTGTTATCCTATCTTGGTCTGGCTGCGCTTCGCGTTTATTTAACCCAATCCTTTGTTAGTTGGATTAGTCAGCCACATCAAGTTGATGAGACTCATAAAATCCTGAAGATATTTTCTTCTACATTAGATACTCTAGTCCTCATCACTCAGCAGCTCATTCGAAGAAATTGCTGTTCAAATTAAGTATGGTGCAGTAAGTATCCGGTAGATAGTTATCACTTTCTTGTGAGAATTATAATGCTGGCAGGATTCTGTCGTCTAAAATATGTTCATGAAAATACTTTACTCAATCTTGCAGTATATTGTGCGTAATGATGACCAAGTAAGCAAGTAGTACATCTAATTGTCTCATGGTTCTTGATTACGTGAATTTATATATATATATATATATATATATATATATATATATATATATATATATATATATATATATATATATATATATATATATATATTGAGTGAAGTAATTTCACTTCTCCAACTTATTATTCTGTTTAATTCCTTATCTTTACAGGATCCCAAAGCTAGTATCGATATTAACGGTCATGATAATGATCCAATGCCAAATATACGGAATCGTGATAATAAGTGGGTTCTTTTTACTAAAATATTTTATCTTAAATAATGACTGCTGGTTCACCATATGTCTTACTTACTTAACTACGCCTGTTACCACTCGTCGAAGAGCATAGGCCGCCCACCAGCACTCTCCATTCAACCCTGTCCTGGGCAATCCTTCCCAGTTCTTTCCAGTTGCTACTCATCCTTTTAATGTGTGCTTCCGATTCCCGAAACAGTATGTTCTTTGGGCTTCATCCTTTCCACTTCTCTTCACGATTCCAAGTTAACGCTTGCTTCGTGATGCAGTTTGTTGGTTTTCGTAATGTTTGTCCTATCCACTTCTATGGTCCTTCGGTCATTTCCTCTTCAGATGGAAGCTGGTTTGTTCTCTCTCACAGTAGGTTGCTTTTGCTGGTATCCGACCAACGGACATTGAATATCTTACGTAGACAATCGTTTATAAATACTTGTGGTTGTGGTAGTTCTCTAAGTTTCAGTTCGGTACAGTAGAGCTGTCTTGACGTTCGTATTGAAGATTGTAACTTTGATATTGGTTGAGAGACAGATGTTTTGAGTCCCATATGTTGTTCAACTGTGGGAATGCTGTTGTTGCTTTGCCAATCCTTGCCTTGATGTCTGCATCAGATCCTCCATGTTCATCGATGATGCTGACCAGTGAGGTACGTGAAAGTTTCCACCTGTTGCAGAGTTTCTCCATCAAGCGTGATTGGTTTGTTCGGTGTTTTCTGTGTTGTATTTGAGGTTTCTGGTGTTTCCCATGTGTATGTTGAAGTCTACTGCAGAAGAGACCGCTGCTACACTTATCGTATTGATCTGCATTTGTTCGTGTGTATGGGATAGAAGGACTAGGAGATCTGTGAAGTCCAAGTCGTCTAGTTGATTCCGAGCTGTCCATTGTATTTCGTGCTTCCCATCAGATGTGGAGGTCTTCGTAGTCCAGTCAACCACCATAAGGAAGAGGAAGGTGAGAGAGAGTAAGCAACCGTGCTTGACTCCGGCTCTCACTTGGAATGCGTCTGTCAGCCGTCCTACATGCACGACTTTGCATTGTAGTCGGTCATATGAATTCCAGATGGTGTTGACGATTTTCTCAGCTACTGGCACCATAATGTCGAAGAAGGTTCCATAGGGTTCTCCTATCCACCTTGTCAAATATTTTCTCATAGTCAATGAAGTTGATGTATGTTGACGAATTCCATTCAATTGATTGTTCAAAGATGATCCCTATTGCCACAATTTGGTTTTTTCACGACCGATCCTTACGGAATGTGGTATGTTGATTTCGAAAATGTGCGTCTACCGTGTCCTTCATCCGATTGATTAAGGCTGTTGAAAACATTTCCTGGTATTGTCTATAGTGTGATGCCTCTGTAGTTGTCACGCTTGTTCAGATATTCTTTCATTGTAATCTTGACGAAGTGTCATTTTTTCCAGTCTGTCTGTGGCACTTGTTCTTCCTCCCAAATCTTCCTGAATAGAATGTGGGGAATGTTTGCAGTTACTTCTATTTCTGACTTATGTGCTTCCGCTGGTATATTGTCTGGTTCTGCTGCTTTCGCGCTCTCGACTTGTCTGACGGTTATGCTTATTTCTTCGATCGTTGGTAGAGTGACATTTACAGGAACGTTTGTGTGTGCTACTTCGATGTCCGATGAGTTCAGTGGCACTGGTCTATTCAGGAGTTGATCAATGTGCTCTACCTATCTGTTTCTATGTTCTTGAATCTCAGTGATTGTCACACCTTCTTTGTCTTTGGAGGGTGTTTCTCTGATAGTTTCTTCGTTGTGTCATATAATTGCCCCATACTTCATTCTGTTGCAGCTTTTTCCACCGTCATTGCTAGATGTTCCACGTATTTCTGCTTGTCGGCCTTAATGCTCTTCTTCACTTGCTTGTTTACTTCTGTGAATTCAGCTTGTGCCTAGAATTTCTCTGTCCTTGTATGGCTGTTGTTAATTGCTGTCTTCTTGTTTTTCATTCCTTGAATGTTGTCTGGAGTTTCCGTAGAGATCCATTCGTTATGATGATGCGACCTAGAACCTTCTGTTTTGTTGAAGTTGGCGCCTCTTTGATTCCGATCCCGTTGTTCGTCATAGTAGTTTCATCTTCTTTGAGTAGATCCTGTAAAGCTTGTAGCCTGTTGTTGAGTGCTATCTTGAATTCGTTGGGTTTGTAAGTATCTCGTAAAAAGGTTGTATTGAACCTTTGTACTGCTGTTTCGCCATCTGACTAGTGTTTCTTTAGCTTCAGTTTTATCTTGACTACAACCAGATGGTTATCTGAAGCTATGTTAGCTTCTTTCCAGGTTCTCACGTCTTACATTGACCTTTTGAATTAGTTAGTGATGCAAATATGATCTATCTGGTTCTCCGTGTTGTGGTCCAGTGAGACCCATGTAGTTTTGTGTATTTGTCTGTGTGGGAATGCTGTGCCGCCTTTAACTAATTTGTTTAATGCACATAGACTCGCAAATCTCGCCCTTTCCGTTTCTTTCTTCTAAGCAGTCCAAGTTGTCACATGCCTAGTCCTCCTCCTTTGTTTAGGATTTCGACCGACAGTAACCCTAGAATTGCCAAAGGCAGAGTTATAGAAATCTAAGGTAATGTAAATTTGGAATTTAAGGAGGTCAATAAAAAGTAACTTGTTTATCTTATTGTCATGAATTCTGAAGCCTCACAGATCTACCTTAGTTCATGCAACTGCGGTTTGCATCATTCCTCCTCAAAGATTAATAGGGTGATTTCTGAGGATTATATGCTTATCTTGCCATTTTCCTGGTTCTTTTATTGTACTTCTGCCTCATCAATTGTATTGTATCATTGCAGAAAATAAGTGGCGAATCAACAATCGTCTAAACGGTTTTTTACTACTGAATCACATAAGTAGTTAGAAAATTCTTGTGTTAGAAAATAATAAGCATATTTTGTCTTTTAAATATATAAACATCATAGTTAACTTTTATATATCCTAGGAATTTATCATGTTATTGTTTAAAAAGCCTACTGTTTTTTGGAATGATTTTAAGACATGGGACTCGGTGCGCTGGACAAATTGCTGCTCAGGGTAATAACTCTGTATGTATTGTCGGTATCGCTCATAATGCACAGATCGGTGGTAAGTTCTTGTATATTGATAAAAATGAATTTTTTATTTTACAGTCTTGTTTTATTCCATAGTATTTATATGTTTACCAAATAATACATATCAACTGAATGATAAATTATGTGTTTTCTTATGAATTTGTTTGTCCTACTTTTTTTGTTTTTTTTTCATAAAAGATGTACACAGATTTTTATGCTGTTATATTTTTTATGAGTTCACTAGAAAATAATCCAAGACCTAATGCATTATACAGATAAATGTATTAACACTTTCATTTCTTGGTTCAATTATGCTTCAAAATTTAGAACCAACAAAGTTTATGTTGTAAATTATAAAAGGCGTAAATTAAGGGGTTTAATTAAAGAGGGTTGTTTAGTAAACATTTGGTTATTAATTAATATGTTACTCAAATGAGAAGTTTCTTTTTAATGTTTAACTTACACGAAAGGTTCATTTATTTAGGAAAGTGATAGAATCAATACAATTTATACTCGGTATAACCGAATCTCTATCCTCTATACCGATGATATTTCATGGCTAATCTAAAAAATTCGGTACTTCGACCAATAATTGAGAGATTTCATTTATATACGAGATGATATTTCTCTTGGATAATTGTTGATTGCAGTAATGCTGTAATCTTATTATGGAAAGGAAATATATTAACAAGTTTGAACTCTACAAATTCCATATTCGTTTTTATAGCTATATTAGGGTTGAAGTTCGACATTAACACCGTTGGATGCCGGCTCAGTAGTCTAGTTGGTTAAGCGCCTGGCGCGAAACTAATAGGTCCTGGGTTCGAATCCCGCGAGGGGCGGGATCGTGGATGCGCACTGCTGAGGAGTCCCATGCTAGGACGAAACGGCCGTCCAGTGCTTCCAGGTTTTCCATGGTGGTATAGCTTCAATTGACTCATGATTTCAACCAGTGAAATTTCTAAAAATCTCCACAAAACCCATTCTGATACTAGAAATTTAATCTATAGCTCATTATGGTCCCAGAATTTCAGTGTAAGAATGTTCAAGAAACGGCAATGTTATTGAGATCATGAAACGACCTAGGTTACACAGTTATTGAAAACCAGGAAGCAATAGACAGTTGTTCCGTCTTAGTATGGGACTCCTCAGGAGTGGCCATCCACGACCTCACTGGTGATTAAGCCCAGGATCTTCAGTTTTCTTTCATCGGGAGCTTAAATTTTGAACTACTGAGCTGAAACCCATTGGTTTACATGTCTAACTTCAATTAATTCACGATATTGTACAAACATCTATTGTCCATGGGTAACTGCCCCACGCCGTACACGTCTTCCACTGGTAGCAAGTTCCTGCTGATGATGACTTGATAATATCGTTTTATTAAACGATAAAAAGAGATTGACATGCCCCCGTATACAAGAACTACTACTAATCTCATATTTCATTTTTCTTTTTAATTCAGATTCTTCTTATTTTACTTAGTAATCTTATAATTAATCTACCTAAACTCTTATTCATCATCATTATCTTTATGTCTTTTTAAATGTATAAAGTTTATTCTTTACTGTTTATTCTCTATAATTCTTTATTTATTGTTATTACACTTAAGTCTAAACGTATTCACTTTTTTCATTGTACTTATACAGTTATAAATAAAATTTCATTTTTCTATAAATGTTTGCATACTACACAGACGATCGTATATATAACATGTTAATCAGGTGATTATACTGATAATGTGTTTAGTGTGATCGGACTTTTTACTAATGAAAGATGATATTTTTAAATACAGTTAGTAACAATCTTCTATTTTCATAGTGAAGTATGTATTATGTTCGTCTGTTTGAGTAGTATACTTCTGTAGGCATTATATTTCATCAACATTTCTATTGTTTAACATCATTCCATAAATTTTGTATGGACATTATTTATTTAAGCACATAAATCATTCGATTTGTGTGAGTGCTGGGACGCTACCCGGGTGCCCAAACCGAAGCAGGTGGTATTCTTAGGGGTCCACACTCCGAGCCTTCGACCTAAAGGTCTAATCCACAAGGCAGTGGAGCATCGTGAGGAGATGCAGTCCCATGGTAGTCGGTGACTAACAATTGGTTCATACATCATTTGTTACCTCAGGATCCTGGAGCCCCTGTCAACCATTAGTTTGGAGTCAGGGTTTTCCAACTCCTCTAGGTGGATCCTTCATATTCACCAACCAGGCTAAAGTGTCGGACATTCGCTTTTCGTCGTCTCAACTTCGTAAGCAATACTCACGCCACGAGAAGGCAGTGAATAGAACTTCCCTGTCAGTGGTTGTATGCATGTGGCCATTTAAGAGCATTCCGACAGGGAGAACTGATTCACTTCACCCTCGGCCGTACCAGGGGGACAAGTACATTATAATAATAGACATGTCAGTCCCCGGGCTACTAATCTGCTTAAATTTATATCACTAACCTAGAGCATTCATTCGAAACATGGATAATAAATACTCGTTCTCAATCAACCTTCAATCCCTTTGCAAATTTAATAGAGTAAAAAATGAAAACCTTCCTAGTAGTATGGTAAACAAAGTAATTCTCTTTCCTCTCTTTTATGTATAATTATAGTTCACTGAGCTTATCTTGGGATTTGTTTTCATTTCATGCTACGTATTTGTGTTCTCTAACATAGTTAAGTGTGATCATAGATGTCATTCGTAAAACTAAAGACCTGTTGTTTTTACTAAGTCCATGAATTGGATTTTCAAATAGTTTTATGCTGTTGCCCACCTCAGTTTTCAATGTGTACCGTATATTAACTTTTCTTCTAACAAATAAACATTATTACATGGAATGGTTGGTATTTGCTCACCAGTGCAATCAAGGACGCATGTTTCTTCCTATTTTGGACAGATCAGATGGCTGTACCTGAGTTCTATAGTTATGTTACCTGATGTTCGAACCCAGTACCGTTCACTTCAAACCCTAACGCGCAAACGCCCCAACGAGTCCTGAATAGGACGAAACGTGTCCTGGATGTCACTGTTAGCCACATTTAATCTTTTATGTCTAAACTTACGTCATAATGGTCATATTGAGATAATCCTCACAAGGTTCACATCTGCCAACCATTAGCTAAATTGTTGTGTTACAGGTGTATTGTTCGCTACAGAAGCTTTAAAATTGTGGTCAAAACTTAATACTAATTCACATTTAATGTAATGCATACATTATCGAAGTAAATATTGCTTTGATCAGGGAAATTAATTTACATGGGATATAATGTTCGTGCCTATGGTTAAATATTGTAAAGGGCAACCCACTGGACTTCCGATCACTAATATTCATGTTTTTATTTGTTCCTACCTATTTTGATTAACTTACTAGTTGGTATCATTTAAGCTGCATACAGTATTATTATTATTAATATTATTATTATTAATTTTTCAATTGACCTATCACTTAGAAGTGACTTGTCGTGTTTGTCTAGTCTTTTGCTAAATTTGGTAACAATCCAATAGAAATAATTATTTCACTAAAACTCAAGTGTTTATTAGCTATAGTAGGTTTAAAGCTGTTCAAAATTCATTCAGTAATCAGAGTTGTTTAAAATGAAGCTTAACCCTACCTCCCAAATCTAAAATAACCACAACTGTAAACACGACGTTCTACAAATGTACCTGATAAAGGATTAACTTGATAGCTAGGTTTTCTTCAAGATAATCACTGTACATTTGGTTCAGTATTAAGGAATATCTTATTAAATTTATTAATAAGTACTTATTGTAATTTCTAGATTTATTTTAATATTTAACCATTTGTGATCTCAAGTTTGTTAAAAACTTTTGTTGACCAACTCAAGATTGAACTTTAGAAACAACGTAACTGATATGTTTCATTTACTTATTGTCAGTATGTGCAAAGTTCGAGTTCATAGCTTCCTTCTGACTATATATATATATATATATATATATATATATATATATATATATATATATATATATAGTTTGCTACGGATTAATTTTCAAACAATTGAATACTTCTTAAATATCTTTTCTTTCATAATACTTAACATGCATTTATTAAAATGAAAGCTCTCTAAAATAATTTTAAGTTAGCTAACAATATTATAAAATACAGTATTAATTTATTTTTACTAGAGAAAAAAATTAAATTATAAAGCACGTCCCTATCAATGAGATAAAGTTAGAACATAAAAACAAGTCATAGGTTATTTATGAATGCATATATAGTGTAAGAAGAAAAGGGAGAAGGGTAGAGAATTTAATTAGACAGATAGGTAAGCATAAATCCATTAACTTTCTCTATTTTTTTCCTGTCATTTCATTTCTCTATTCGTAATTCCTATACCTGTGTTCTACTTGCCACCTTGTAGATTTTATAATGTAATACTTTTTTGGTTGAAGAAGATTAATTTTATACACACTTGTGTTTGCTTGGGCTCTTATGTGCATAAATATTTATGTAAACTGTAAATGTTAAATGTCGTCTTCTGATATGTGAAATACCCTTATTTTCATATTGGATTATTTTAATTTTTAATCCCCTAAAATTTAATACTCATTGTTTTCCTTTTTCAGATTATGTTTTTCATTTTTTCTACTAGTATACTGCACAGTAGTCTGATCTGTATTACTCTATGACTGTGGAACATGGTGTATGAGTGTAGATGACAATCGTAGGCCTCAGACTTTTGATCATAGGTCTATTCAAAGCACGTCTTGCGTATGACTGGACTATCCAGAAAGAAATAGGATGTGTACTACACATATTCAACCATTGCTTATCTTACGATGTTTGCTAGTGTTGAAGTAGTTTGGAAGACAGCTAGGGATGATTGTACCAAGACGTAGCACCCAATCATAAAATTGTTCATTGTTGGACTCTGCTGTATTATTAGATACAGACTATCTGGTTAAGGTAAAGGCGATTATCGTAACAAATGGTTGAATACATTGGGTAACATGGGCCAGGACTGGTAACAATTCCTCAGATGCATCATCTTTTTGCTTCAAATACGTATATCTTTTTATTGCATGAAGTCATTATTTCTTTTCGAATCATATTTTATGAGCTTCATGTTTTTTGCAACCACTGATAATGTTACTCTTTTACTATTCTTTCATTTGCCTTGATGATTTTATCTCAATGTGATGTGTTGTGACAACTTGAAATGATGAACAGGATTCCAGGTTTCTTATAACTGTCTGACTCAAAAGAAAACCTGACCTGAAAAAAAAACCGTTTTTGTCATCATGCCTTTGCCATTTTATTGTGTTTGTTGGCCTACCTTCATTTGTGAATAATTTACTTAGCTTTGTTCTGGTTTGCTTTACTTCAATTGCAATTGTCTTAAATAGAGTTAATTCATTTTGACAAATATTATGAGTCTTAAAGAAATTATGGTTATTTCTTTCTGGAATTTTTTGCATTTAACTTGTGTTTAATAATTTTCCTCTTATGTTTATGTGTTATTTGATAGTTTAATTAAGCTTGGTATTTTCTGTGCTGTATTTGTCGTATATACAACTAATTAATATCTCAAAAGAAAGCAACAGTTGAAAGTTGCTACCTTATTGTTCTAATTATGTTTATATGTGTACTATTGGCATTTTAGTAGCGTTTAAAAGCCACATTTTTGGATTACAATTGAAGTAAATATCAATCTATAGCTTTTTTTTAGCCATTTCCGATTGGTCTTGATATCTTTGGATGATATCTTGACGGTAAATTTGTATTTGTATATATGACTTACATCTTTAACGCAATTACAATAATATAAATACTAATAATGTGGTGTGCGTTACTTATGTGGACAGATATATAAGTAGTATGTAACAGGAGTTGAAAGTGAAGGGAAAGTAGAGAGCAATAGGAATAACAACATAATTGGAAAATTGATGGAATATTTGAAGGATAACTCAAGAAAAATTCGCAAATGATGTTTTCAGTTTATGATTTTCACATTTCACAACGGCACTGTGTAGTTTTGCATCAAAGAATTAATTGGTTAACCGTACCTGGGTTTACGTCCAACAATAGAATCACATTTATTGGAAAGTAAGGTAAATTACAAAATAATCCATTTGTTTCGTAAATTAGGCAATGAATTTTTTAAATTGTAGTCGGATATACTATTTGGTTTCATATTGAATGGAGTAAGTAGCATGTATTTGAATTATTGTCTAAACCATTTGATTCCAACTTTTCAAAACAAGTTGTTGAATATTACGATGATTGCATTACATTCTTTGCAGTCAATCATAATGCATATTAGTTAAACCAAAGTAGGTAAGAATTCGTTATGACTAAACATATGATTTCAGTAGGCCGTTGTAAACCATTTAGTTCATTGAATAGCATACTTTTCCATGAATTCATGACTTATTTGTTTAAGTAATCGATTTTTCTAACAAACAAGTCTCAGATTGATATTTTAGTTCCAAATGTGGATCTTTGATGAAAGTGTGCTCTCGACGTTGCTTTTTGTGTCCAGCACAAAAATAATAGGTCAGTAAACTTCCACTTTTAATCTACAACTTAGTGATTGGAAGTTTAATAATTTAATCACTGAATGATAGGTTCACATAGCTAATGTTGTAAAATAATATATTATCAATTGTTTAATGACTGAGTTTTAGTAAATAACATGTCTGTGACTAGATGACATTGGTTCATGTGTTTTCTTTTCTTGCTTTCCTATATATCTGAAATACTATCTCACTGTTTGTTATTATTATTATTATTATTATTATTATTATTATTATTATAGTAGTAGTAGTAGTAGTAGTAGTAGTAATTTCTTTCCATTCATTTATATACTGTTTTCTTAGTCTACAGGATGGTGATAATTTCTGTCGTTTTTTATTATTTGTTTACTCTCAATACAAAGTAATTTGAACTGATCTTTATTACTATCATTGTAGTTGTTCTCATAAAATAGTCAATTTGTCATCTAACTATTTTTATTTATATTATAAGTTTGTTTTTAAATTTCATTGATTCGATTTTGTTTAAATACTTATATATATGTTAATGGATATGGACGGCCGGACCGTAAATACAGGCACATATACATGTTAGGTACAACAAAGTTCTTTATCATTCATAAAATATGTTTGAATATGGACATTACAGTTGTCAATCGGAAAACTTTAATTTTCGGCAAATTGTTTTTTTTCTATATTTGACTTATTAATAAGTAATAGGGTTCGTCAGATCTACAAACTGGACATTATTCTTGTGTATGTATGTAAATCAGTTTACCAAGTACATGTTTGGATATTTGATCTTAATTTATACATTTTGTCTGAAGACTAATAATTCGAATTGAATGGTATTGCAACTCAACGATCGGAATTTGTTTGGTGAATTGAATAGGTAAATTCAACTATTGAGAATCTAAGATGAAGAGTTTTTACAAAGACGTAACTTTGGTTCTAAAATATATTCAATATCTTTTGATTGAGTTTCTCATTTTGATCAGTTCATGTGATACAAAAAATACTTCAATTTGTGACCATTTTGAGAATCCTGACCATTAAGTCATTTAAATGCTTCCCTTTTGTAATTGAACAGGAGTTTTATTCGATACGATGCCCAAGAATTAGACTTAATAGTCAGTAATTGTTTGCAGAATGAGTGAGCTACAAGTTAGTTTCCTCCAATCATGTTTAGCTTGTGCTCATATTCTGTATAAAAAATTATTATTTTATTACGTAAAATATCTGTTTATTCGGCTAGTTGTCTTATCTTTGATCTCTAACTATTCAAAGGTTTGACCGAATAATACATCATAATGGGAAGCCATCACTTACCTAAATCACATTATTGTGTTCACTCATCGATTAGCGTTCTTTTCATTGACTTTAATGGTCAAGAACAATTTCATCAATATTTAGAAATCTCTGTAATACTATTGAAAATAGAACAGATAAATGTCTAGGTAGTGTGACATAGGCATTGTTAGTTGAATATATTGTTTTCGATGTGGTCTCGCTTTAATACTTTTGCAACTTAGGGTTTATTATAACTGGAAACATTTTTCTGTTAGAAATTTAAAATTATGTAAATGAAAACCATTTTTTCCTGTAGTTTGTATTGTTTCTATGTTCTTAGTTGTATGCTTACTAACACATGATATGTATACACAGAATCTTTCTTTAACGACATAGACATGCTCATGTATATCGAGATACTATCTATTTTGCTGTTTGTTACATTGTGTAGGATGATCAAATTATCCCACTGTTATGCTGAGTCTTGTAGATCATATCTGATAGGTTACTGATTGGTTTTATATACGAAGTATCAGGGACAGATAGATTATGGGACGTTTAAGAAAATTGAAAATTGTTCGAGTGTACTCATGATCAGTTTGATAAATCTCGGATGCCTTATTATTTCGTTTGTCATTTCTTTTCATCCCAACAATCGGTTTCTTTAAACCATTTAAGTGTATTCAGACTTGAAAATCGTTCATTTGGCAAAACATATAACTTTCAACCACTGAGTAGTGGGTTTAAAACGTGCTTTGGCTACTTAAATTTAGGAGACCACTAGCTTCACACTAGGAGCATCTGAATGCTAAGTTTGTAAACTCTTATTTAGTTACCGATTCACATTGAATCGAAATAAATCTCATATACTATTCTACTCTAAACTGTACATCTATGTAACTACGGTTTTTGAATGTTGTTTTCTGAACACTTTTGATTTCTATTGTATGTCGTTTCCACTGTATCTTAAATATTTAGAGTTTATATTTCCAAAACACTAGTACTTTATCTATAAAATTATTGGTTCCCCTTTAACCATCTACTGTTTCACAAAAGTTAATCATTAATAAAGCTGTTTCTTTCTGTTCTCATCAATTACGTAAGTCTTCCATAGCTTGACTATAGTTTTTCTTATGCTAATGAATTTATAGTATTATAAGATGACCGCTAGAAGAATAAAAACTACTCATCTTACTACCACTATTTCTATCTTAATAAAGTAGAATTGTAAGGTTGGAATTAGAAATCAAATTGATAGAGCCTACTATTCTTAGTATTTGTTTAGTCATCGTTAGATGTATTTGTTGAAATTCTATCCCACTTAATTGAATTTGATCAGTTATAAAATATAGTTATCGGTTTCTGAGTAATTTCGTTTTAACTCACAGATTGATGAACAAGATTTACTTGATTTACCAGTTTATGAAATGTATTTTGGATGGAAAGTTATAGACAAGATATTATTTTTGATTCAACTAAGATTCATAAATCTCTCGTCAATAGTGTTATTCTGGTAAATACTGAACTGTTTTATCACATGGTAACTCCCTATTAAGTTTGAATACTGAACGTTTGCCATATCAGGTTTTTAAAGTCCTTAGACCAACCACTTTAGGAATCTTGATACCCAAAAAGAAGACAAAATGTTTGCAACGTGACTCAAGCTTCGTTTCAAGATTGGTTGTAAAAAATAAAAAGGAAGGAATGCTGAAGAACTATGTTTTTCAGGAGTCGTTAAAACCATAGTCTAACTTCACATTCATTTATTTGACTATTTCATCAAGTAAGCTATAAATTCTTCCAAGTTACCTGTATTGCAAAGTTGTCACCTTTTTATTGTGTACCAATTTGACGAATACAATCGTAGCATATTTTTTATTGGCTTTCATTCTTACAAATTCTTATAACCTATTCAGTATGTACTTTTCTATTACTGTTTATTAAAAATAAAACATAGGCATACGTATGTTAGATGGTTACATAACGGATAGAGTTGAAGCGGAAACACTACATTTTCGACAGGATTACATTGATATTTACTCAGGTAGTTGGGGACCTGAAGACTCAGGGAAATTATATGAAGGTCCCGGTATACTTGCTCAATCTGCATTCCAACAAGGTGTAGTTACGGTAAGTTTGTTTGGTTTAGTTATTATAAATATTGTGTTTCTTTTTATTATACTATACATATTTCTAAAAATGTTTTTGATATATATCATGACTTTTATTTATTTATTTGAACACATGAATATTGGTACAAGAGAGCGCCAATATATATGCGCCACACAAAACAGTGAGAATTCGAAGAGAAGTAGAAAAAAAACTAAGGAGCGCAAAAGAAAAAGAGAACAATGACGAAGAGATTGGAGTAAGGTAGTGTGGTAGTAACGACGGAACGAAAAGGTAGAATCAGAAGAAATCTTTCAGGTAAAGGAGACACAACCACTTTTTATGAAGAAAGTAAAAGAAGGTTACAGCAGGATCGCCACTGGCTTCTATTCTGAGCCATATTATAACGTCTCTAGCACTGTGTAGCACCCTCTTTCGGACCCCAGCCAGAGAGTCGTGAAGGACCAACACAAACCAGTCCTTTGCAGCTTTCTTTCATCCAACGACACCATGTCATGCACTGACCACCTCTCCGCTTCTCCCAACCAGTCCCAGAGTCGGCAAATAATGCACGACGTGGAATTCTCTGGGACGACATTCGGAGAACATGTCCAAGCCACCGAAGTCGGTGTTTCAAGATGGTGACACCAATTGAATTATCATCTCTGTGCCCGAACACACGATGCCGAACCTCTGCATTACTGACATGGTGTTGCCACTGAATGTCAGCAATCCTTCGGAGACAGCGATGATCGAACACAGAGAGTCGTCTAACGTCCTCAACTCGGAGAGGCCAGGTTTCACAAGCATAGAGCAAAACTGCTCTCACCGACGCGTTGTAGATCCGACCTTTTACAGCCAGACTAACATCACGAAGGCGCCAAAGGTGGCCCAGATTGGCATAAGCCGCTCTGGCTTTCACTATTCGTGCATTGATCTCATCACTCACACCCCCACCAGCACTTATGCAGCTACCCAGATACACGAACTTCTCAACTACGTCTATCTGCTCACCATCCAGGGTGAGTACAGGATTAGAATCCTGCCAGTCTTGTAGAAGTACTTTGCACTTCGAAGGTGCAAAGCACATACCATACCTACGGACACTGATTGCCAACTGATTAAGTGCGGATTGCATGCCTTGGGCATTATCGCACAGTAAGACAATATCGTCCGCATACTCAAGGTCGAGAAGTCTTTCTCCAGGCAACAGATCCACACCACCATTACTTACATTCATCAGAGCTGTTTCCAGAATGTCATCGATGGCAAAGTTGAAGAGGAATGGTGAGATTGGGCAACCCTGCCTAACCCCACTGCTCGAATGGAACAATGGAGAGAGGTGGTTGTATGCCCTCACTCTGCCTGAGGTGTTTTTATATAGGGCTTTTAGGATGTTAATAAACTTCTCAGGCACACCCTTCTTCAATAGACAATCCCAGAGAACAGTCCTGTCCAACGAATCGAAGGCAGCCCTGATGTCAAGAAACACTACGATTGTTGGCCTTTGAAAAGTATGGCGGTGTTCTAACATTTGGCGGAGGGTGAAGATATGATCAATACATCCTCGACCAGAACGAAACCCAGCCTGCTCCTCGCGAGTCAATCTTTCTCGGGTTTTGAACAACCTACGAAGAATGACGGAAGCCAATAGCTTGGACGCAATCGGAAGTAGACTTATCCCCCGATAGTTGTTACAGGAACGACGTGAACCCTTTTTAAAGATAGGGACAACTATCGACTCATTCCATGACGTTGGTACACTCTCTAGTTCCCAAACCTTTGTAAACAACGTCGTCAATTCCTTAGTCAAAAAGTCACCACCATCTTTAAAAAGAGCCGGAGGTAAGTCATCTGGGCCAGGTGATTTGTAACGCTTCAAGAGTTGGAGTTCCTTGCGGACTTCCTCCTCATTTGGTGGATCAGTCGTCACCGGCCATGGAGGGCAGGACAGTCTGACCGATGTTGCCGGAGCAGCAGGCCAGTTGAACTGCCCTTCGAAAAATTCTGCCCATCGTCCAAGACGTCGATGGATGTTAGTGATTGGCATCCCATCATCCTCGCAGATTGTTTCACTCACACCAGACTTCTTGCTGCCAGTGGCTCGGATGAGCTGGAAGAGCTTCCGGTAGTTACCAGATGCAGCTGCTGCTTCCAGCTCATTAGCACGCATCGACCACCAGGCTTCTCGGTCCTTACGCAAGCTTTGCCCAATTTCCTTACGTAACATCCTTCGTTTATGGTCAAACTCACGGTCACCCGGAGTAGACCGACGGGCTTCAATGAGTTGTAAGGAACCAGAACCCAGTGCAAGCGGGACGTTTCGCAAACCCACAACTGACTGTTCCCGCCATTTTCATGGCGTCATGCAATTGCAACCAATGCTCATCTATACTTTTCGGTGGAGTGGTAGCTAGCCTAGAGGCTAGCTCGGTTCGATACTTACTTGCAACAGAAGTTGCAACCAGCTTGCTAACATCAATCCGTTGATGGCGGTCACTTCGTTGTCCACTGAAAAGTAAGGCAAGATTGGCGCAGACCAAGGCATGGTCAGAGTCCAGATAGGTACTCCAAAAGGAGCGGCAGTCTTGTACACAACCACGCCAGCGGTAGCTGATCGCGATGTGATCAATCTGAGTCCAGGCTTGAGATGCAGAGGGAGGACGCCAGGTGGCACATCGGCGATGACTGTG